CGTCAGTGATGGTGTCTTCCAGACCAGCAGCTCGAAGTGCGGTTTCTAGTGCAATCTTCCAGGGGCGGTAGTTGGTCCCATTGTAGCGCACCTTCCCAGGCTTGGCTTCCATTGCAATCGTGCTGATAACGTGTGAGAATATGTAAAAGAAGTTTTAATAGAGATTACAACACGTGCCACTAGGTTGGAAACAGTTGGCAGAGTGAGTATAAGTCACACTGCTTACAATGGTATAAGTAGCAATAAAGTGACAAATTTTAGAACTTTCAGCAGGGAGGAATCCATTGTTCACACCTGCTAACAGTCAAACAGCTGAGTTAGAACACTGGGAAAATAAATGGCCGAATAAAGAGCTTTTTGGTAGAGTGAGATGGTCTACGCTTTTTTTCTGGCACAGCACCGGAAGTGCTGCTGCTGCAAACAAAGAAGTGTGTGCTCGATGTCAAGTGAGTTACGTGCTAAAGACAGCAAGCGGAACTCTGTACTGTACATTTCTTTACTATATTGTTTTTGTTAAACACAGATCCAGTGCTCAATGAGCACAGTGAAAACAAAGCCAGTAAAATTTTTTTTATTAAATGAATTCCCTTCCCAATGTTCGAAACAAAACAAAATTCAATCGTGTTCTCAATCCAGCAGAAGACTCACTGGCTCTACCTACTGTTCCAGAATCAAACTAGTTTTTCTACCAAAAAATTGGACAACTTTCCCTATTTTTGCAATCAGTTTTTCGACTTGTTCAGGCACAACAATCAATTTGATCATCAACTAAACAATCACCAAAACAACTTACAAACTTCAAAAATCAAAATTTTTATTTAATTTATAAATTAATACATTGTAACACTGTGTGTGTGTGGCTAAACAAATGTGTGTGGAGTGAATAAATAAATAAAAGAAAGAATAATAAATAAAATGAATTCCGTGAACAGCAAGTGAAAACTCATTTTTTCCTTCATATTTTAAATGCTGCTTTTTTAGTTATCTTTTTGCTACTCCTCATTACTTTCCTTTGCTGCTAACGGTGGAGCTGGAAACAGCACTGCTGCTGCCGGCACTACTACTACTACCAGCACCAGAACTTCCGTAAAGTCGTTTGTTGGCCATGTTGTTAAACAGTTCCTCGAGGAGGTCGCTGCTAGGGCGGACATATTGCGCCCAGGTCTCACTTTCACGCACTTCCGCTGCGTGCTGGCAGATGTAATCGATGGCCTGACTTTTCAACGGCTCAATTCGGTAGAGGTCGGCAATGTAGAAGATTTTCGCCGCCGACTGCGGGCAGATCGATTTGTGCATGTGGGAGACGCAGATTTGAATCAGCGGTTGAATGTCGTACTAATATGCAAAATCGAAAGGTTAAATTGTTGATATGTTATCAAACTGGAAAATTACAGTTTGTAGTGTATGCACTGACCTTATCAGCCGCCTCGAGCAGCTCGCTCACCACCGGCCCCACGTTGGCAATCTCGCCGCCGTAGATGTACTCGAGGAGGACGGCCATCACCTCGCCGGGAATGTCCGGAATCTCCAGCTTCTTCTGCGTCGCCTCGAGGAAGCCCTCGTTGGTGAACATGGCCGCAAAGACCTGGTAGATTTAATGAAAATAAAAACAAACGCTTGTGATTAGAGGTTGAAAAATCATCTAAAATTTTTGTTTTGGCTCCTTTCTCTGACCTTTGACCGGGCGCTGAGAATGTTCTTGTGAGCGGGAAACTCCCGTTCATCAACGGTGGTCTTTAAGATGACATCGCTGAAGAGCGGGTCTCGCAGCAGCATGGCCAGATTTTCCGCCAGGTGCTGGGCGTGGTACGAGGGCTCGGAGAACTTTGGGTTCAGGTCGCGGATGGTCACCTAAATGTTAAAAAAGGGCAAAAAGACCGATTAGTCAAAGTTAACAGTCGCAGAAAAAATCATCCTCTTTTTTTCTGTTACCTCACAGTGCATTATAATGCAGGTGGAGCCGCCGAAGAGCAGTTTCAAGTCTCGAAGATTGAGCACCTTCAGCTGATCATCGGGAAATTCGGAGATGCGGCAGTTTCCTAAGTAAACAGAAATTTGGAAAATTAGGTTCAAAATCTGTAAAAAGCAAACTTTCCCCTTAAAGACTGACCAAAGACCGAGGTGTCCATCAGCTGCGACTTGCCGCTCTCCTCGGGGATGTTGCCCACCTGGAACTTGCACTGGACGTTGATGGCGCGCT